GGGGGGGGCGGGAGCGCGGTGTTGGCTGGGGGCGGGGGGGGGTGGGGTCGGGGGAGAAGAATGATCTGTCCCCTTGTCAGGCACACTGTGTTTGGCTTTCTCAGCATGTCCTGGGGCTGATGGTTACATTTTCACGTCCATCCCGTCCCTGACTCAGCATAGAGTTTGGTAAATGAAACATTCTGGTGTTTAGGAAGGACCAAGGGTGGTCTTGAGCCACCGCTGCACCCACTCCCTTGACCCACTCCCACACCTTGATGATTGGGAGGCTTCTCTGAGGTATGCACTTTGAAGCTGCCTTCTGCCAGAGACAGGGCACTAAGTTGGCTTAAGTGAATCGGAGTGCAGGCTTTGGAGAGAGAAGGCCTCTGGGCACCTTCTTAGAGAGAAATACTGACAGCAGTTCTGTAAATGGACCCCGCCAAGGTTGCCGAAGGCTTCAAAGGTCAATGCAGGCTTTGAATCTTGCCCTCAGCTAGTTCTGTGGATCGGCTTGAAGACTGCTTATCTCTGTTTAGATAACTGTGGGTGGGTCCCAGCTCTCTGGGGCCACACCCGGAGGCCACAGAACTTGGATATCGAGATGAAAGAATTAGAAGGGGGGGGGCCTTTGACAACTGGGCTAATACGCCCCGGGGCTTTGTTGTCCTACTTCTGGAAACCTTGAATGTTTAGATCATTGGCCCATCTTCCTCAGAGCAAGGGGCCTAAGGAGAGAAGAGCCTGGATGGAGACTGGACCACAGCAACATTGCCTCTCTACCTGGTCCCCCTATTTTCCAGTCCTCTGACGGCACATGGTTTGCAGGTTTGTAATTAGCTACAGGTCCTTTCTTTTTCTTTTGATTTTTCTTTTTTTTTTTTTTTAAGTGATTGGCATTTTTGTAGTCAGGGAGCGGTTGTCCTAAGGCTCAGAACAATAGTGCCAGCTCAGGAACATCACAGCAAGGCAGACTTGCTGCCATTCCTAGGTAGAGACCAGTTGGTTTGGCTCTCTTGGCAAGCAAGCTGTTCAAGGAAACAGAGAAATGCCACACCGTGGCACCAAGAGCCATGACACCGTCTGTCCGTGAGCTGAGTACACCAATACCGGTTCCCTTGCCTCCCCTGCAGGTCTCAAGTGTGTGCCCATCTCTGGGTTCTGTGTCTCCAAGTCTCCTGTGAGCGTGGTTGGGTCTTGGCTTGGTGGTGCTGCGGTTTGTTTTAGGCATTGATTTTGATGTAGAGGTCAGGCAGGCATGCAAAGCCTGACACGCAGTTGCCTCCCACAGGGAGAAACAAGGCTGGGATAGACTGACAGGTCTCCTCAGTAAGGAGGAGAAAGTTGCTGAACGAGACAGGCAAAAAAGGCTATGGAGAAGTTTGTGCACTGAGGAGATGGCTCAGTGGTAAGAAAAGAGCTTGATGTGCAGGTCGGAGGACCTGGGTTCAGATTACCAGGACTTGTGTAAAGCTGGATGTTGTTACCGTTATAATCCCAGTACTCATGGCAAGATGGGAGGTGGAGCCTGGCATGCACAGACGCAAGCAAGACATCCCATCTCAAGGTGAAGGGTGCTGGCCAGCATCTGAGGTTGTACTCTGATCTCTACAACACACAGACCCTGGCATGTTCAGGTCTGTATTCACACAGACACACACACTCACACACATTCATACACACACAGACACCACATCGCACATGGTTTGTGGTTTTGTTGTGATTTCCAATGGCCTCACAGGGCCGAGCTGAATGTGGCTGCAGACAGAGTCACAGGGCCTCATTCCATGGCAGGAATTAAGAAGGAACATTTGGAAGGAACGTCTAACTGAAAACAAAGCGCTTCCGACTCGATGCCCGTAGACGTTGCCCAGAATCCTGCTGTCACAGTTTGGGACTAACCTGTGACTTGCGGCCCTGTCTACTGGTCGTCGTCATAGTGGGATGTTTGCCCTATGACCCTTTGTACAGAGGTTTCCACAATACCAACTCAGTGTCTATTTCTGATGGCGGGGCTGGTGAGACCTCGAAACTCCTGCCGTCTTGCCTTCATTGCTGTGGAACAAGGATGAGAATCTCGTGGCTGAGAGCCTTAGGAAGATTGGGGTGCATACACTAGTTTCCAGGAGATACTGTGACCAGGACAGGCATGTTCACAGAGATGTGACCAGCTTCTTGCATTCCTGGGTGCCACTGCTCTATGGTATTCCGTTAAGAATGGACCCTATCCTTGAAGCAAGGTCTCTCAGGAGGCCTCAATCCATGGCAGGCTCTGTATTCACTAGGGTCTTGCTTAAAAGGCAAATGGAAACTGCTCCTTGGTCCTCTCAGGAAACCTTGGGTTCTCGGTGTCATGAACACCATCATTATTATCACTATTGTCATCAGCGTCGTTATTGTTGACATCATTATGAAAGGACAGTTCTCATTTTATTCAGCCCAACCACATTCTGTGTGCCCTCCATTTAACAGCATAACAGACCCCAGGACCATATGAAGGGGTGGTCACTTGCCTTACTCACTGTTTCAGTGGCTGGTGCACACAGCATCTGCTTTGAAGATACGCACAGGTGCCAGGGAGCCGCTCGCCCATTCAGCACAGGAAAGTGGGCAAGAGCCAGCAGCCAGGAGGGCTTCCTGTGTAATGCAGCCAGCTGGACCAAAGGCCAGGAAAGCCAGGCCCCTCATGCCAGAGGTGGCACAGCTGGATTTGGCACTGATGCTGCCCAGCTGAAGCCAATGGCAATTGTCCTTTAGCTCATCTAGATTCTTGCTCCTTGAAAACCCTTGAGAATGGGAGATGAGTCATACTGAGAATAGCAAGTAAGCTATGCCAGAGACCCAAGCCAGAGTAAAACATGGCCTTTCCTCACCAACAGCAAAAGAGGCTTTGAATTTGTGCCTTGTCTCAGAAGCCACAAACTCATGCCCACTGTCAGGGTCCAGAGGTGGCCACGGTCATCCTGGTTTTTGCACCATCATGGCGGCAGCCTATGAAAGGAACACTCTTCTGTCTGTCTGGGGTACAGTGTTTAGGCTCCAGGAGCTGAGCCTGGCACGGATATGCTAGAGCGCTGTGCGTGTGACACGGGTATGCCTGTGGGTGGGGCCACACAGATCCCCAGAGCTGCTCTTACGCCAGAAGCCTGAGGGTCCTCTGGCACCATAATTAAGATCTGGGGGTGGGTCCAGAGCAGGGATCCCCACAAGTTCTGGCTGGACCCTAGAGCTCAAAGAAAAGACAGTAAGTTTGAAGGAAGCTGGTTCACGGGAAGGAGATGGGAGCCAATGATCAGCTGGCCACATGGGATTCATTCTGATGAAAAGCCAGTTGTCTTTATATAGACTGAGAGGTGAGGGGGACAGTATGTCTTATGTAGCCTTGATTACATGCAAACAAGGACCTCTGGGACAGGAGAAGGGGGTGCCTTCCAGCCATTCTGTCCTGGAAAAAAAAAAGTATCATGTTAAAAATAGAGAAATGTGGTTAATGATGGCAGAAGACGTATCTTCTCTTCCCATTGCACAAACGATTTGCAGAGTGTGTGAGGGCCACATGGCCTCCTGGAGATTCAGCTGGACATAAAGTATGTATCAGTGGCTCCCAAAGGAGCCAAGCTTGCTTGTTTCAAGTAGCTAAAGGGCTCTGTTCTCCTGTCTGTGCTGTTCTCAGGCTGGAAACGATTAGTCCAGGACAGTTCAGCCACTGCGTGGCTCTGTCATTTGTAGCCCTGGCATCCTTTCTCCAATTTGTCTTATAGTTTCAAGAAGGCCGCTAAAGCTCAGGCATCATCTTTGTTAGAAATTGTGCGGGATGAGAGTTACACGGCGGGTTCACAAATCACGCCACATGACCCGTTCCACGTGGGAGGTTTATTAGGGGAAAGGGAAGGGATC